CTTACTCCTTCAAACCAAATCAGAAATGAAGGGCAGGTCATATGAAACAAAACCAGATTTTACAAGATTAAAGCTTAAATGAAATAGTAACTAATATTGCAAATTTCAGGCCCACACAGGAAACCTAGATGCCTAAACTAGCACACCAGCAACATTTACCAAGTTACAAGAATCTATCTTCTAAATACTTCCCCTGCAGAACAAATGAAGAGATCGGTTCCCAGATGTCATCCGACTTTGGAAAAGCCAGCTGACTATGCACAATACACTACTGTTTAAGAACAGATAACTATTATGTCCTTTTTATTCCTCACCTAGGCTGATCACTTGCTTTTACATTCCCAAAAGAAAAGTCAAGGAAGTCTTGGGAAAAGTTCACACTTTGTTTTTGCTTTAGGACACTCCAATTCTATTCACTCCAGAATCTCTAATAGTTGAAAGTTCACAAAAGCAACCTTCCTTAAAACTATCTTCCTTCACAGGACATTGTAAAAAAATATGGAAATTCTAAAAACCTACAGTAAAGGAACTGGTAAATGGCTAGCTCAGTGTTTTCCAACTTCTGCTGTTCTGGCAGCAAAGAACTGTAAATGAAGATAATTTTGTATCTAATTTTAACAAAGGAAAGATCCAAGTTTCCCTAATGCATTCTTCACCAAAAGTTTTTTGACTGTTTCCCTCCAGGTATGGTGAGTAGTCTGTGCGGAAAGTTACTGCTACGTCCTAGACAGGGGTGAGAAGAAAAAGAGTGTTCTTTTTAGAAAGAGGAGACAAACAATGTATTATCTTTTGCCTCTTGGATGCCAAGTCTCATAGCACACTTATTCCCTACGGCCTTCCTCCACCTACACCCCCATCCCACTCCACACACTCTGGTTCACAAGGTTTAATTTGTCTAGTTTTCAAATTCCCCAAGGCTGTTATATCACCGTGCTATCAAACTCAGACAAATAGCTTAAAATTACACATTTTAACAGGACTCACTGTTAAGACTTCAGATGTGTGTCTGAAAACATAATGCCGAGTTTTGTTAAATTACCTGCTATATGTTTCAAATGAATATAGGACTTGCCAAGCTAGATTAGGCAACTAGCCATTTAGTTTTGTAATCCAGTGCCTTCCTTACAGCAGTAAATACCAGATGCTTCAAAGAAACACACGCAAAAAAATCATAAGGCTGACACTATAAAGTGTCCCAACCATAAGAAAAATCCTGTTTTAAAGAATGCCTTGAAGCTACAACCAGATCAACATAAATAGAAGCCATTCCCTAAAAGAGCAACCTCATTTTCCCCTGCCCTCCTGTACCAGAGCTAGCAATTGTGTGAACACAAAGTGGGTTAATGCAGCAAGCTATTCCAAAAGAAAATTGTTAATTATTTGGGCAGAGTTAGTGTTCCATTGGATTAGCCAACTCAACTCACACAAATGCCAGATCCTTCAAGCAAGCAGAGAACATGGTCAACCTTTTTTTGAATTAGATTAGCATGAAAGCAATCCAAGAGAGACATAAATCCTTATACAAGGTAAGCAACAACAGCAAGGCTGGAAAGGGACAAGAAGAATATGGCTGCTCCATTCTACAGTAGATCATACTAGACTGGTTTAGCTTTAAGAATTTAACTCTTAAGAAACTCTGGCTACAGACACATCACAGCTTGAGTCGGTTTAAATCAGAACAGCTGCAATACCACCCTCGACTTTTTTTCCATACATGCATTCCTGTCTATTCCTGTGCACCAATGTTGTGCATGTCTGATTCAGTAACCATTTCAGCAGGTTCAGCCCACCAAAGAAGCAGAAAAATACTTATTGGTTTATGAAAATGGATTTTTCCACCTCTTTTAACTCCGTTTTTTCCCTTGGAGATCTAGAGTACTACTGCCAGTGTGCAAAGGAAACAGAAATGCCCAGCTCAGGTAAGCAGGCACTTATCCAAATAAGGCATGAACAGCAGTTACTTTCAAAAACTCTTTGTTGAACTTAAACTATTTCCAAAATAGTTTAAGCATAAATCAGTTTAAAAGTTTCCTTCTAAACTTAAAGGAAGAATTTTAATTCTACATCTCATAACTTGCATTTACAGTCATTTCTGGACTCACACTGTGTTGATGCACTTAACGTGGACCTTGAGCTGCATGCAGGCTCACTGTGTGGCCAGTAACACTGGGGCTGTGGGGAGTGCCTGGGATGCTGGGTCATCCCAAGTTTCAGCTGCGGAAGAAAAGGCACCAGCAGGCACTGCTGGGTCTACAGTGACAGCTTGCCTGGAAATCCAGCCACGCTTCCCATCCAGCCCTGAAGTACAGCAGAGCAATGCCCCAGAGAGTTACTACTGCAGTGTCCACTGACTGAAACAACCCCACCTCTCCCCCTCCCTTTGGCCACACCAGGTACACAGCAAATCTTATGATTCTCTGACATACACGGATTCTGTAAGACTCTCCATGTCATAGAAGTTTTCCACATCTGCCTTTGGCTGTGGGCTTCAGTGATATTTTCATCAATGTGCTCTACTGTCAAGGTACACACCATGTAACTGGTAGCAGGGCATATTTTCAGTTTTGGGACTTATCCCGCTGTTCTGCTCTATTTTCCTAAGTTTAGAAGAGTCTTTTCCACCCTATATCTGTGAGGTAAATAATTTCAAGCTTTTTTGATTTCTGAAGCCTTCAGCCATGTTCAATCAGCAAGTCCACAAAGAAGTATCACTGATTATTGTCACCTACAGAAATACCACATATTTAAAATTTTAAATAGCATCCTGTAATTTCCAACTTGACTTTGTAAAGTTAACATTCTTTTAACAATTTAAGAAATTGTCTAGGTTTTTTAAAGGACAAAAAAAAAGCTCTAATCACAAGTGTGAATATGTGAAAAATTCTTTCTTATTCCGATATCATGTATTATCATTGGCGTTTGAGCCCTGTATTGCTTTCAACACAAATAACAGTAGAACTGGAAGAAAAAGCACATTATTATCCACTGAAGATACATTCTCTTCATCAACTCCTTTATGTTGTACAAATTTTTACTCCACCTGGACCCCTCACACAACAGTAGGTAACAGGGTACAGAATGCATTACCTCCTGGATTCTGTTCCAAGACACTTTTTCCTAGACCAACTGAGGATTTTAACAAGAAGAATGAAACACAAAACTTTTGCTTGTGTCCTCCACCAGAAATCTATATCAAAACGTGGGCAATTACCAGGAAAAAGAAAACCAGAAAATTAACAGGGAAGATTTTTCATCTCTCTCCAAGAGAAAGAATTGTTTGATATAAGAAAACTACCACACATACTCCCCCTACCCAGACCCACCTTCTTCCCCCCCCCCCCCCCCCCCCCCCCCCCCCAAAAATCTTAATTAGCCAGTCCAGATTATTTATAAGGAAATTTCCATCTGCAATCTGTCAGAATTTTTACCTCCCTCCTTTTCAAAAGGTCAGTTATTTACATAGTTTCGAAATAACACTTTATATGAAAATAATTTCTTTTTTTTTCTTTTTCTTTCTAGTCATTTCCTTAATTTTTCTCATTCTTGTACCGCACATTCCTCAGTATTAGTTTTCCAACTTGCATACTTTATCTTTTCTTCTTGCAATAGATGCAGCATTAGGAGACATTGAATCGAAGAGAGCAAAAAGGCCCACTATTCATCCTTGCCATATTTAATTCCCCAAAAACAGGCAGAAGACAGGAAAGAAAACATCACCAAGAAATAAAAACAATACTGAAATGCTGAAGAACCAATTATGCATCTTGGCGGCTGCAGCTGCAGTCCAGGATGGCTGCCTTTGTAGAACATGCTGTCCAAAGGACAGCATGCTCGGAGTACAGCGTTCAGACTTTCTGGCAAGAAGTTGCCTTGAAGACATCCTATAGAATTTCATGCTACAATAAGGTACAAATTCCAACCAAAGTTCTTCCCCAGAGTCAGTTTTCACATTTCCCTCCTACAGAGATTCCCCAATAAGGAACAAGGTATAAGATCCCATGGCAGCCCCTTCTTCAGGGCTGTATTTTTATATGTTCTTCTCACACAAAATTATCCTAATACAACTCTCAGAAATTTAATTCTTCCTTGGTTCTCCAGTGATTTTTTTTTTTTAACTGATATATGGGGAAGAAAAATAGAAGAAGTAAAAGTACAAAACAACACTGCAGACCCCTTCCCTTAGGAAATTAAAATTTAGAAGTTGGGGAAAAAATACTGTAATAGTGTTACACAGCTTGACATCGGTGGTATTAATATTCTTCCTATAACATAAGCTTACTATCTACAGAATCATTTTACTTAACATTTCTAACACACCTTCACATCTCGCTTTTCCTTTTTATTCAGCACAGGGAAAAAAAAATAGGAAAACAGAACAAAAATCTTACAACGATCTTAAACCACTAAGTTGTAGTAATAGTTCAAATTATTCTGATGCACATACTTTGTTTTTCAGCCCCATTCTTTTTCGGCATATATGCAACTACATATCGGTACAGCAACATTCTTTAGTAATGTCACATCATTACCTCTAGCTCCACGACAATTTGTACTGTCCACTGGAAAGTCCTTTTAGTTTACTTCAAATGTGTTTGCTGTCTTGGAGTTAGAACACAAACAGAAAAAAATAGTCTGCCTGAAACTCTTAAATGTGACCCATAAACTTCAAGTACCTACGCAAAACTGAACATCTGTAATTTCTTCTTAATTCAGAGGTCCTATAGTCTTTATCCGGGAATCAACAAACTAAAGCAACCTTCCTCTCTGTTCTACAGAGGGAAGGCAAGAATAGTTCTAATGCAAATTAGAAAAGTTAAGAAGTATATTTGATTATCACAATAAATGCTAAACAACACGTTATCATGTACATCTGCATGATTTAGATGATGTATGGTTGTCTGGTACACATGGAATTCATTATTAAAGAGTACAGATGCTCCATTTTACAATCTTTTTCCAAGTACCCTTTCAGCACATTCCCAGGCTTAGCTCATTCTCACCAAGGTTTCCATCCTCAATGGTCAGCACCACTTCATCCATCACCAAGGCCCGGAAATCTAGCTCCTCCTCACAGCACTTGGCCTTCAGCGCTCTCAGGATCTCCTGCTGAGGGTAGTCTTCTCTGATGCGACGGTCTGTTAAGAACCACAGCCTGGCAGCAACTGAACTGCACATCTTGGGCTTGTCTTGCAACCTTCAAGGTTTCCTTTCAATGGAACTTCTAGATGGTGGAGAAGACGAGACTCTGTTAGAGTACATAGGCTCCTATCTTCACACTCCCCACTGTACCAAGTCCTACGCCCTTTGCACAAGCCAGTCCTTCTCAGTGGAGTGCAACTTCCAACCTCCGAGTGGGAAAATAATGTCTATGCCTAATCTGCAACAGAAGTAACAACAACAGAAACAAATCCATTTACATTCAATGGAATGTAAGCGCAAAAATCAGGTCTTGGTCCTCATCCTAGTTTCATTCACAAGAAGGACACATGACGTAACTACTGGCACTCGTAGCAGCATCCCCTTTCCTTGACAGTACTAAGAGGCATGCCAGGGACTGAAAACATTCTGAATGGCCCTCTCTGAAGGCGAGAATTTCAACTTCGTGATTGAGATAATAGGAACAGACCTGATGTATCCCCTTCCACCATATATGGAAGATAAGTGTGGCAAATTCTTTATGTTAAAAAAGCAGTCCAGAAGAAAGGAAGAAATTAATTAGAACAGAATTTTCCACACAAGTATTTCAAGAATGATTTGCTCTTACAAATTCTTCACATCGACTGTGAAATATATTATTATCTAGAACATTTTAATGGAAAAACCAATGGAGCAAGGAGCATCAACAAAATGTTAATATTGAACACTAGTACATGTAACCTAAAGCAAAATCAAGGTTTGAATCTCAGTGTTAGCCATTTCTTGTGCCAATTTTTTTTTTTTAAATCAACTTCATACATAAGCAACACTAATTAATTCTGCACCAAAACCAGAGAAAAAAAAGTTCAAATTGAAGAATTTCAGTGGTGTTAGAAATGATAACAAGGTACTGTTCCCATTGCTCTGAGTACAGAGGACTTGGACTATTTTTGACTGTGTACTAAAATATTTAAAAAGCTGTAAAACAATTACAGGTACATTAATGGACTACTCATTTACATTCAAAAAAAAAAAAAAAGAAGCAGCATGGTGTAGGAAGAAAGAATTCTGAAGAAAAAGACAGCTGTTTTCTGTGACACATTTTAAGCTTTCATATTAAAATGAAGAGGTAGAAAGAATTGTTTTCACCAATACAGCTTACATGAGTTACAAACAGAATTGAACTCTGGTATAGAAACAGGACTTTCTCCTCGCAGTCCTAATGACAGCACATGGTGTTAGCAGAAAACGTGAATGCAGAAAAACCACAGGTATACAACTGCTTTCATTTAATATTACAAAGATTTTTAGTTTCTGCAGCAGGTCTTGGGACAAAAGGATCGTATTGCTACAGCCATAAGAACAAGCTGATTTTTTTTTTTTAATTAAAACCAAGTTTTTTCTATTATTACAGCTTTTTCTTAAAAAGAAGATAAAATTTTAAGTGGCCATTTTTATCCCTGGTACTGAGAACCATAATGACAACAAGCAAAGACTGTGACTTTTTTCCATTGTTTTGGTAAATGAGGAGCAACAATAAAGCCAAAGGAATAAATTTCTTCATACTAACAGACTGAAAGAAAGCAACAGCTAGGGAAAGGCAACCACAGATGCAGACTGCAGTGAAGATGCTCAAGGTAAAGCAGGAAAAGTCATGTTCACTCCCCGCAGGAAAATGGGTAAGGGAGGTTGTAAAGAATATCTTCTGATGTCTCAAAGAACACCTTTTTCTTCAAAGCAGCTGAAAATTAAAAGGGCAAGATGAGGCTTGGGCTTGCAAAGGCCAACAGTTCAGATCCTGACCCACTTTTGGCTCTATCAACAATGGATTTATCTCCATGGTAGTTTACAGAAAACTTCCTGGGACAACCTCCTCAGCTGAGAACTGGGACAAGCTATATTTCTCAGAAATGGCACTGATACAGCACAGTTCAGAAGGCTTCTTGCCAATTCACCTTTATTTCTGCTATCTGCATGAATGGACTGGACAGACCAAACAGCCCCACCTACTGCCTCTCTTTTGAAAAGGCTACCCCTTTTGGTAGAGCCCCTATCTCATTTTAAAAAAGAGCTATAGAACAATAAGTACATAAAAAAAATATTAGTCAGTCTTTGTCATAATTAAAAAAAAAAAAAAGAAAAAGAAAAAAATAATAAATCGGAAGCCATTAGAGATTTTCATCCTGTCTGGGTTTTGTGGTGGAGTTTTACTTGGGTTTTAGGGTTTTGGTTTGTTTTTTTTTCTTGTTGTTTTTTTTTCTCCCCCCCTCAGTACTTCAGTACTGGCTCTAACACTGGTGCGAAGAAACAAGTATTTTCTCTCCAGGAGCCTTCTCTCCAGTTGTGCTCGCTACTAACCCTTGATTCCTTGGCCAAGAGGGATCTGCTTCCATTTTTCTCAAATCTCTTTTCTACATGGCCCCACCTTCACCCCCTTAAATCTGCAGAGACTGTGCCATCATCTCTCCCTGACTGTCATTTCAGCACTTTGGTTCTTAAAAAACAGCAAAGGGTTGAAGACAAAAGGAGAAAAAAGTATATACTTTTCTTTCCCCCATCTTTCTCCTATTTTTGAAAGGAGCTAAATCATCATCAACAAAAGCCATCCAGAGATCTCAATTTGTACATTAAACCAGCAGGCATATAAAAATGCCTTTGGTATGGGTATTTTTCTCCCTATGTTTCATTTCCTCTAAATCTTAAAAGTTTTATATATGTATATACAAAGGCTCACATCTCATCATGAGGCAGGCTCAAGTCTGCATGCAAAGATTAAGAAATTCACTTTAGATCAAGCTACAAGCCAATGGCAGAGGCAGAAACTAGTAATCCTATCAGTTCCTTGACCTCCAACTCAATTCCACATGTTTTTACCATGTGGAGAAATATGCTTTTCACACTAACATTATGCTCCTAAAAATAGAATCTACTTATCAGTTTCAGCCTCTCCTTATAATCTCTATTTTGATCGTGTAAGAAGTCTCACGGAACACAAAACCTGCAATTTACCCTATTAACCCAAACATCCTAACAATCCCTCCCACATTCTCAAGAAAATGGTCTGTAGGAGGAAAGCTTGCCTTGCAGTCAGATGCACAAGAGCCTTAAGATCTCAAGTTGGATATGACTTCCAAAATTTTTCCCTGAAAACCAACTCCACCTATTTCAATCTAAAAGACCTAGATAATGTCGGGTGTGCATGGAATACTTTCTGATCCGTGAGAGCACCTACTGCAAAGTAAGTGTAGTATATATAAGGGGAAAAGCAGATGTTTAGATGTCTTCAAGATGATCAGCTGAAATGCAGTTTTCACTCAAAGCGACTATGATCAGTGTAAGTACAATCTTTCAATAACTATTTCATAGGTTTATGAAATGAAAGGGAAAAAAAAATCATTATAAACTTAACTGCATAAAACAGATGGGGAGAGATAAGAGGCTGTCATCAAAGTAAAAGTTTTATGATAAAAATCAAACTCACACCAGCCAAGCTGACACTGCTGCACCTGCTTCAGAAAGACGCTGTGTGGAACAGATTCTTAGCAATTCAGAGGGAATGGAACGTTCACCTCAACTTTGAGCTGCGGCATCCCTGTATTGCTTAAACTAGGCTTTATTCTGGTATTCATACGGCAACTTACTTCCCATCACATGCAAACGTAATTCATCCTGCATGCCCTGAAACTGTAATATACCTTCAGCAGCTGTTCTGACAAAAGCATTCACTGTGCTACTTTTCTGCTTTACACATATGCAAATATGTTAACATAACATGAAATTCAGCCGATCAGATCAGCTGTCTAGAGCGATCTGGAAATCTCCTCTGAAGACGCTGCTTTTCCCTTGAAGGGATCTTCTCTTCGCAGACAGAGCCTTAGAGACCTCCCTCCAGGAATGGGAGATGGGTGTCGTTGTCCATTTACTCCTTGTCCTGTCTTGAACACCCAAAAGCAGGAGAAAAATAGGCTAGACTTTTTTTCTTTTTCATCATAATGTATTCTTCCTTAAACTGAAGAAACCAACCAGTAGTTAGGAGATACTAACTCATTTATGAATTCTCGATAAATGCGTAACATAAAAGATACCTAGTACACAAAAAGATTGTTCCATATCCCTTCTGTTCAGAATGCAACTACTCAGTGCCTTTGTAAATTAAAAAGACTAGGCTGTTTCTTCCCTATGGGAATGACAAATGAAATCCCAGATGTTTTGCAGCATTAGGAATCAATGTGATCTAGCTATCTCAACTGCTCAGCTTGTGATCTGATGTTGTAGCACACTGCTACTGACTACAGTGCGATCTGAGAAACAACTCAGTAGACAATTATTACCAGCAGCCCCTCCCAGAACCACCTCTTTTTTAGACCTTGGCTCAGACTCTCTGCCTCAGCTACAACGCTATGCAGCTAACACAACTCCATGTATTTCAGCAGTTCATAGAGAGGTAAAACCTAATCCTAGTTTTAGCATACCTCTAGCTATGTTTAATCCCTACAGCTCAGATAATGATAATAAAAATCTCATGGAAGTGAGAAAGAAAAAGCAAAGAGACTGACAGCCATGACTGTCATGGGAAATGGAAAGCTAGGAAAAATACAGCTCCAAGCACTCACCTCACTACGAGTAACACTGCACCTTTGCATTTATCATTAATATATATCCTTTAATACTTGTTTCCAGAGCGGTGCTTGTTACCCAAGTTGGAAAAGGTATTTTGCTTTCCTATTTATCATAAATTAGCTAAGGCTTGAAACCAAGTACCTACTTCCAATAAACCAATTGTCTCTACCATTACAGCAGTTTCTAGAATGCTATTTTGGAGGACACACCTCAAGATACTGAAGACCTAAGAACAGTTGGCAGATGCTTATAAGTTATCTCCTTCAGGAGATACCTCCAGGCAGGTCTGAATTAGAAAGTCAATCTTAGGCAGCAGACTGGTTAAACAGCTAACGAAGGGTCATCCAGCATGTGACCCCAGCCTATGATCCATCATATGCTGTCATGGAAGTCTCTGTCTCATCTGGATGAGAAGAGAGCAGTATTTAAAACATCTCAGAAATACATCTTTCTAAGTCACAGGGAAACAAGGTCTGAAAACAGTTTGCAGCTGTTTCAAGTATAAAGCACAGTTAATTTTTGCCCCCACAAAGATAACAGAATTATGATCATCTAAAGAAAACCTTAAGGAAATATGTATGGATGATTAATATAACCCATGGTGATATATACAGAGATAAAAACTGACATCTTGAACCACTTGTTAAGCTTGATTTAGAAAAATAAATCCAAGATAAATCAATTAATTCCTGACACTGCTGCTTCATGGCGATGCTTAAGGACAAGCTCAAAAAAAAAATTCCTCTCTTACCTATCAGAGACTAGTTTTCCTAAGACTGTCACGTAACTGTTTGAGTATCTTTGGAAAGAACACATTTTTAAAAATTGAAGAATCTGAAAAATTAAAATATTTTTAAACTGCATTTTATGTAATACACTGAGCAGCTGCAGCACAATCTGTCCAGTGCTGCTGCATTATCATCCGCCCTGTACACATGCATCATAGATTTTAAAGTCACTGCAGGCAGGTGAACCCCAAGCACACCTCTTTGAAAGCATATCACAGTATTCATCTCCTTCTGCCTGTGAGATTTGTAGACTGCAACAGTCAAAGGATATGGGAATATATTAATTGTTCCCATTCATTCCCAGTACAACCCTCCACCCCTGCAAGACAGGCAACTGCACTCCCTGAGATGGCTTTCATCTGTTTGTCCCCACCTTTGCACTGAGTGATGTAAAGATGCTAGCAGCAATCCTTCCAGGCACAATTGTCTCTAAAAGGCTGACATCCACACACACCCCTACCCCCGTCTTTCCTCCTCTACGTTCATACTTGCAAGTAGGTGGTCACACTCCTCATTTGCACACCCGTTCCTGATCTTCAGTGAATAATCCATTCTCTTCCCTCTCTGCAACACTAGCCAAATACTGGTCTGCATCAGCTACCCATTCACTTTGGTCTTCATGATTTTTTCCTACAACAGTCTCTCTGCTTTTTCACGCCCCTCCACTCCGCCTGTGTGGGCACACACACCCGCCCGTGCGAATAAAACACACATTTCCTCCCACTTGAGCCGCTTTTCTGGAGAGAGGTCCTTCCACCTCTGCCCAGGTTCCCCTGCAATGTGGTACAATACCCCCCCTTTCCTCCCCAGTCCGTGTGTACACAGCCAGTTTTCCCTCCCCCCTTCCCCCACCCCACTGTCTCTGTGCATGCCTCTCCCAGCGCCTGGAGTGGGGGAAGGGAAACATGCACTGTATGAATGAATCGGCTGGAGAGACTTACCAGAAATTTGGTGAGGAAGGAGTGGAAGACGAAAAAGACACCGAAAACGGGTGCTTCCTTCGGCGCGACAAGTGCTGCTTCGGTTCTGGGTCCCTTAACGAGGTCACGTGTCTCACTAGGTACCCCCTTTTTCTGGATCCTCTACTAACCAAAAAGGGTGGCAAGGAAGTCTCCTGGATGCCTCTATGCACTGCGCTCCAAAGGAAGGAAGGGTACTACTGAAGCTCCCAAAGCAAGCAAGGGAGGATGATGATGATGATAATGTTCTCCTGGTCCTATAATGGGCAATGTCTAGCAGATGACTCAGGGACCAAGGTAGATTTCTGAGGGGGAAAAGGGGGAGTAAATGACTGTTAAAATAATTTGCACATTATCCTCCCCTACGGGGGAGGACGGATGGGAAGGACGGATGGGAAGGAGGAAGATGAGTACTGGTGAAGAGCTGTAGCTTTCTATGTAAAATAGACGCAATCCTTGTGTCTCTACTTCCTCAGAACTAAACCACTAAATGACTCTGAAGTCACCAACACCTAGGGAGAAAAAAAAAAAAAAAAGGAGAAACATCCCTATTAGATATAAACAAACACATAAAGGTATCCAACAAACTAAATCCCAACAGAAGGTACCGTACAATACTGTAAGTAAAACCAAAAGAAAAAGATGGGATGAATACAATCAGGGGAAGTGTGCAACCTTAAATAATTTACAAAAATACACAACCACAGAAAGCCATTCTAAGGGGTGGGGGGTGGGGGGGGAAGGCAAAAAACCCACCCAGGTTAAGCAGTTTGTTCCTTTACTGAACAATGTGCATTCAAATGAAAGATAAATCTGTATCTGTACATGAACATAATAATAAATTAAGTTTTAAAATCTACAAAAACTGTTCCTATTTATTTGTGCAAGTCTTTGAACCCCTCCCCCCACAATAACATTTAGAATTCTGATGAGAAGACTGAAGAAAAGTGTGTTTCAGGTCAGAATCATATATTCCTATGCATTAGACCCCACTCTGTCAAACAAAATAAACAGTCGTTTATAAACGGCGACCAAAAAAAAACCCAAAATAACATGCCTAGAGGATGCTTGCTTAAATGATGGAGTTAAAGATTAACAGTTGCACGCTTTGAAAACGGAGCCCCTGATACACCCTAGGTAGTTAAGTCACCAACGTGAAATCAGCTCTTCAAACATCAGAAAACAAAAGGGACGAAACCTAGTTGAAAGGTTTCCTTGTAAGCCCGAAAGACACGCACACACAACCCTACATCACGTGAAAAACTGCCCCCCCAGCTCACGCGCCGGGGAGCGGGTTTTCACCCCGTTTTAGCGGCTCCTGCCACCCGCGAACGGGGGCCGCGCACGCCCGGGTGCGTGGGCAAGGCGGGAGGCAGCCCCCCCGCCACGCGCACGCCGCGCTAAACCCGCGCGCGACCCACCTCCCGCAAGCACCGGGCGCGGAGCCTCCCACGCGCCCCCCCCCCCACGCCCCGCCGGCACCACGAGCGGCCGCGGCCGCCACCCACCTGGGTGCCCCGGCTGGGCGGCCCGCGCGGGCGCGGCGGGAAGGCGCCGGCAGCTTGGAGCGCCGCTGCCCCGCTCCGTGCGCCGGAACGTACAACCACCATGGGCGCAGCACGGCGGCGGGACGGGACGGCTGAGGGGACGGTCCCAACCCCCTCACCCCACCCGCCACCCCCCACCACCCCCCCGGGCACGGCGGACCCCACCCCCGGGCTCGCACCCGCTCAGCCCGACATCTCACCCGCCCTGGGCACCGCCGAGCCCGAGCCTGAGGGGACCCGCGGGGGTCCGCGCGCGCCCTGACGGCGGTTCTCCCCCCCCCCCCCCCGCCCGCCCCCTCAGGCACCGGGCCTAGGAAGGGAAGCCGCGGGGCGAAGAAGGCTCCGGGGAGACTCGCCCCTTCCTCCCCGCCGGCGGCGGTCGCTCGGCGGCGCGGTCCTAAAGGGGAGCGGGAGACGAGACGAGACGCGACGCGACGCACCGCGACACGACACGACACGACACGACGCTCCGCTTCCCCCCCCCCCCCGCTTTCCCCTCTTCGGTGTCACTCCTCCCCGCGGCTGGGGCGAGGAGGCCGGCTGTTCCCTGCACCGAGACCCCCGCCCCCCGCGGCCGCCGCTCCAGCCACAGCGCCGCCGCCGCCGCCGCCGCCTCCTCCCGCGCTCGCTCCCGCCGCCTGACTGAAGCGCCGGCGGCGCCAACGGGCGAGCGGGGCTGGCACCCGCTGGGGGAGGGGGCGCGAGGCGGGGCACCCGGCTCCGGGGTGGGGTGGGGCGGGCGCGCGCGCGCGGGGGCGGCGGCGGCGGCGGCGCGCTCCCGCGCGGGGGCGTGGCGGCCGAACCGAACCGAACCGAACCGAACCGAACCGAACCGAACCGAACCGAAGCGCTGGCTGCCAGGCGCCGGGCCGCGGCATTACCCGCACGCTGTAGGCCGCGCCGGTGTAAGGGCTGACACCTCCTGCTCGCCTCTGCTCTCCCCCATCCGCCCCAGCCGGGGGTTTGGTCAGTCCCTCCCTCCTCGCCGTGGCAGACCCCGGCCCGGACCCCAGCCTGCTCAGCAGCCAGCGGCACGGCTCCGGCGTGCCCGCCCGGCTCCTCCTGCAGCCGTGCCGGGCTCTGAAGGGGAGTGCGCTCCACCTTCCCGCTGCTGGCTGCCCGCTCGCCCGTTGCGGACGCCATCCCACTGCCACGGGTGACCGGCTACAACCTGCGGCACTCGCTGCTGCTGGAGGCACGTGGCATGCAAAACCTCTGTCCTTCGTGTGACAGATGAAGGTGTGACGTGTGTCCTGCCACCCGTGTCTGACGCACCCAGTGTGCAGCCAGGGCTGCATCGCCCCTCTAAAATAACAACCGTTGGCAATGAATGTGACACGTCCCGCGTATTCACCAACACGTGTACCCGTTGCGTATCCGTTTCTGTGGCACACCTACTCGTGTTTCTGTCCTGTGCAACCTTCTCCTTCATCAACCTTTGTAACCTCTAAGATACACCCTTCTGCGCCTCAGGGGAACGCGTCTCTTCCTCAGCAATGTGCCACATCTCCAGCTTTGCAAATGGGGGACGTACCCACCCACTTGGTCATGTCTGATCCCCCCAAGCACCCGTCCTGCCACAAACATAACCATCCAACACGCTTTCTTCTGCCTTTCAAGCATCTGGTGGTTCCATCCTAACCGTCTTCATGCTCCCACCTGAGTGACAGCCACTTCACGCACCCCTTGCCTCCCCCATGTAGTTCACCTACACACGGCACATCCAGATGCATTTCAGACAGGCTCTGAAAGAGGCAGTTGCAGGATAAAGTTGTGCCATCTAAACCTTTCACCCAGTACCCTCAACGTTTAACTGACACAATGAGAGTGATCTCCACAGCGGTAACCTATCTATTACAAGACAGAATGCCCTAAAATCTGCTGCAATGTTTATTCATTCCTACTGCGAGTGATGTACCGTACTATCATTTGCTCCACCTTCTGCAAAATCAGAGCCAAGGGTTAAAATGCTCACAGTGCAAATACCACCGAGCATTTCTAAGACTGACTTTACTGAAGGGTATGTACGTTTGTTCATTCGGTTCCACAAACGTCTGGGTCCTGCTCCCTAAACCTCAGGTGTGATTCAGACACCTCTTCTGAAAACTATCTGCCTCATGAGGCAAGACTACCTCACAGATGATGTCAGTGGCCAAGATTCCCATTTACCCAGACATCATCTGATGCTCTCCTGCCTGCTTGTGTTGCTCGCCAAAACTTATGGCTTCCTATGGCTGCAAGCCAGAGCCCACTTCTGGATTCCAGGTTCCCATCTGCCCGACTCTGTACAACAGTATAGGGAAAAATACACTACCACTTGCTTAAATGCCAACTGAAAGTACAACATGAGAGCAGGAGGCAATCGTAGGCAAGTCCCAGCAGGGTGGATAAATAAATAAATAAATTACACCAAAATGCTGGGCAGTATTTTTGTTACTTTGATGGTAACACAATAATACCTTGACAGAATTACTACGTTCTAAGACTTCTGGAATACAGTTCCCACATGCACCAAGTTCAAACTTCCAAAAGTTGTAATTTCGGGTTGTAAGGTACATGGGTTTGTTCACAGAGGGAATTTAATAACAGAAAGCTACTGTGGTATCACTGCTCTGCTGAAGATGTGTGCAACCACTGCACATCATCTAGCATGCATACGTATTTCAGGGCAAGAATTCTTCGGGATTTATGTATGCTGTTTTTAAGATAGTATAAAACAAAGAAAATGTTCACATTAGGATTTACATAGCCACAACTACAGTGATATAGTAACAGCAGATTTTTTTTTTCTTTTATATTTCCATAAGTAGATAAGCTGTAAGGCAGGTGCCTCTACTTCCCAAACATGGTTAGCAGTTTGTGGAAAGAAAAGAACTGCACATCTGGGAAATTCGGCAATGTAGATTTTTGGCCATACAAATATGTGTTAGGTTAAGACGACAGCTGAGAGGAGGCCATTCTACAAGTACAGGGAAGACACTCGGCTTGTTGATAGTAAGATACTTGATCTGTATCTCAAACCATTTGGGATATTTCAGCTGGGTCTTACAATTATCGGCAACAATTTATTCCACCAACTACCATTTGCCTTCCTAGCTCTCCCAGATGCAAAACATAGTCTTGTATCCCTTTTATTATGGTTTGTTGAGCTGCTGGACTTGTAGCATGTTGAATTTCAGCACAAACAAACTCTGAGTATTCAAGTGAGAGCAATGATGGGAGTCAGTTGAAAGATCAGGTTCGATAACCTGTATCTCTAAAACAATTTCCCACCATCTAGAGACTTAAGTCAGTTTGGAGATAGTCCTGAAAGTCTTTTGGTATTTCTTAGAAAGGTGAGGCAGGAGAAAGCGTCAATTTATTGATCAGGCCACGCCCACGCAGGATGTGCCCACTGCTGCAGAAGCTTTTGAGTTCTTTTTAAAGAGTTGTCAATGCAGCTGAGTCAGATGTAGTCGTTATACTTCCTTAGAATTAGGCAGTACTATTTTTTTTCTTTTTTTCTGTTCTTTTTTTGCCAGTGAAGGTGAGGTCCCCTCCCTGTCACCTATAAATCTAGTCTCAGGGCAAAACTCTCACTATCTGATAGAGCAAGAATATTGGCTAGTGCCTTCCGTGTCAATGGTCCCGAGTACCAAGTTTCACCCTTTAGGAAAGAAATATAATTGTAGTGTCAGCAAAGAATGGACACCTCTGAACACTAAATATTGCTGGCACCTCTCTTCTGAGATTTTTCCCATGCGCTCTGAAATGCATAACGTAAGGACTGGTCCAAAGCCTTAATGTATGCAAAATCTGATTTCATGGTTGATTCCGTGAAACATCTTTTGTCACCAAGTCCACTAAAAATGCAAACCAGCCATTTAGTCGTGAAGCTGAAGTCTGCAGGACATTATTCCGTTACTCACATCGGAAAGCTTCATATACTGTGTCTGGTTGATGTATGAGCTTGTGATGGAAAGGAGGTGGCAAGTCCAGTCTGCAAATGTTGCTAAGCCTAATTATTTATACCAATTTGCCCGCGTGCTGCCCATGCCTGCAGTCGCTACTCATTCGGTCAGCTAAGTCTCACAGCAATGATTCTGCTTCCCACTTGAATGACTGAATAACGAATAAAAAATACAAGGCAAGGTAAATGCCTGTGTTCACACATGAATGCTTGGGTTCGCATATGAACACAGATGGTGCCACGGAGGGAAACAATTTCTGGATTGTGCTTCAACGAGAAAATGGCCATATAATTCTTGTTTCACACTACGTAAAATAAGGACTATGCAAAATGGTGTGAAATCATCGTTAATTTCATACCGCTTCAGTTTCTCACTAGTTCTGTTATACTAATTCCCATTCCGAATAAAACTACCGTGAGAGAGCAGAAAATGGAGAAATTACTGCTCACACAAAGGGCTCCCCGCTCCGGGGGGCTGCGGGAAGCCCCAGGTTTCACCGACTCATCCCCAGAGGCATTTCCACCCAGGCCCACGCGCGTCTCCGGTCTCAGCACCCAGCCGCTCCGGGCTCGGCCCGCGGAGGCCGTGACGTCCCGGCACCGCACGTCACCGCTCCGGACACACGACGCCCGAGCTCGCGCGCGGCTCCTGCACACGCTCCCGGCTCCGAGCGCTCCGTCACACCGGCACCCCGCTGCCCGCCCACTGCTGCACCCGAATCATCCCCGTCCACGGCTGCCCCCACCCCCCCCCACCCCACCCCACCCCCCCCTCCAAAAAGGGCTTCCCGCGCACGGGACGCCCCTGACACCCCCCCCCACGTACGGCTCCACGCCCTGCTGCGCCCGGCACCAGCTGGCGAGCGGCTTCTCGGCCCCTGCGGCGCTCCCCCCGCGGGTGGCTGCCCGCTGCTGCCGGCACGGGCAGGCCGAGGGACGGCGGCGGGGCGGCGGCGGGGGCGGCTGAGCAACCCGGCGCGGGAGGGCGCAGCGCCCCCCGCCGCCCACCCGCACGTGCGGCGCGGGGCACAGGCGCCCCCCGCGCCCGCGGGAAGGGCGCATGCGCGGGCGCGCGGCGGGGGCCGTGGCGCTCGGCGCTGCCGGCGGCGGCCTGCGCCCGGCGGCGGCCGGCTGGAACCGGCGGCGGGGGGGGGGGGGG